CGGCCCCCAAAGCGCGGGGAGGAACCGGCAGCCCCGTGACAAATCCCGACACCCCCAAAACGCCACTTTAATCCAAATCAGCAAGAAATGATTGGAAACCCAACCGTTAATTTTTACACCGGTCCTGATCTGCCGAGATCGAGTGGATTTCTGCTGGTTTCAACAGGCACACTCCCAGACATGAAATATTTAGGGAAATTCTCCCTTTGGTGGAGCTGCGTTTTGTAAATGCCTTTCTTTTTAAATTTTCCTTACTCCTTCGTGAAACTGCCCTTCGGCTTCAGCTTGAGATTTGTTCTATGTTTCTCAGAAATCCTTCCCACCCACACAGATGCTTGGACTGACAAAAGTTTCCAGGCTTCTCCCTGCGTGAATGCAGCCTCCCAGTCCCTCTGCGCTGCAAAATGGGAGAAATGGAGCTTGAACAAACAAACCACAAATCAGCCACCTCTCAGTTCTGCCGTAGGCAGCTGATTTCCCCCCCCCTCAATATTTTTACTTTCTAGGCTTCCCGAGGCTTCCCGAATTCAGGCCCTCGGGTTAAACTTTTTAAAGCTTTCTCGGTTTAAGTAACTCTTCAGCAAAAGACAAATCTCTCTGCTTAGTGAGTTGGGCTGAGCTGTCAAAAGTCTTTGGAGAAAAAGATTGATCGTTTCTCTCTTCTTTTCTGTTTGTGTGGACCCGGGTGCTTTAAAAGGAAAAAAAAAATCTTCCTGGGAAATGACTTTTCATTTTATTTATTTTGTAAACTCTGGAAGTGGGGCTGTTTATTGGTGGTGGGGGAAAGGGGGTAAAATAGATAGGAAGGAAGAAATGTGATTTCAAAGCTATCCATGACCTTAAAACATGTTTGGCCTTTAAGGAAAGTGTAAAGCGTCCATTAAGTCTGGCTTTAGCAGCAGCAGGATTAGGCCCTTTCTTTAACAGTAATTTAACACGGGAGATCAGGCCGGTCTGACTGTGCTTGGCTTGAAAGCTCTCTTGATTTCCTGAGTGCTCACATCCAGACTCGGACACAAACCTCCGGACCAAACGCTCCCGATGTATGTACATATACATATATATATATATATATGAGATATGCAAATCCACCCAGGCAGCCGCGGCCTGCACTTCCCTGGCTGCCGCCGGGCACCCCGGGGGGGGGAAAGCCCCC